GAACCTTGAATTTTCTCCAAGACTCACACAACCTCACACAAACATGCGAGTGGAAACTTTCAGCACCAAACAAGTTCTTAATTTGCTGGTGCTACATTCCTCAGATAAAGAAATTACTATTAGCAGGCTGTAAAAATGTGATAACATCGTTCAAACAAAACAAAAAGTTGAGGAATCAAAATCCAATGATGGCTGAAAAACAGGATGCTGAACAGGAAAGCTCGTGAGGCATTTCAGCCTTTTGTTTTGATCCTAAACAGCTGATAAATCAAAGCACACACGTTAGTTCCTGAGAGTCACCAACAAGCTGATGGCCGCACTGTGGAAAATCCCATCAGACTGAGAACACTTGTCCATACAGGACATGTCTTAAATATGATAGGGCAGCTTTTAGGTCCGTGACCTCACTCTGTAGCGCGCGCACACACGCACGAGACATTAAAAAAGAGTAACGAGAACAAAACCAAACCCTGGAGTCATTCTTGTGAACGTTACCAGCCGATGCCACATCCAGCTGGAATACTTCGTAACTTTCCACACGGGGGTGTCCTCAAACGCCTCCTCCCCCATCCATCCATGTGTCAAACCAGCGGGGTCTCGTCTACACAGCGCCAAACGTTCACAGCGAAGGGTTTGGTGTAGACACGCAGCGTCGTGTCGGCCGGGGAGAGCGTAAAGTTACTGCCACCACGGCACTTGGCACGGCATCGGTGTCCAGGGAGCCCGGTGGCAAAGCGGCAGTCTGCGACGCAGAGTGGAAAAAACTTCCAGACAGCACCACGCTGCTGAACCCTGGCTAACCGCGCACCTTTTAGCCGCAGGCTCGAGAACACACCGCCTCACACCTACCTCCGTTTTCAGGTCAGCTGTATCACGGTGTCCGGCGGGGTACGAGTCGGGGACGCTTGGGTCAAATTTTAAAGCCGCTGTCTGCAGTTTCGACGCCGTGAACAACGTCGCAAGGCAGCCACATACAATGAATAAGTTTCAGCACATAGAGCAGCCGACATGTGATAGATGTGTATCACACACGAAAGCCTGACTGAACACACACAGACAGAATCGCGCTAACAACTCGTTTAGGTGCAAACTTAACCGTAAGTTGCGCGGAGCTCCGAGAAATCCATGCAGCAACTTGCTCGCTCGCGACAACCCCTGTTGCTTAACTTGTAGCGAGCCAACTACCCAGCTGTGACAACCTCTGTCAAGCCAGGGGCAGCGACAGCAGCAACTTCCGGTTTGGAACTTCGAAATAAATGTAGCAAAAAGTAGAATAACACGTTAATGACAATTTATAAAACAAAAACGCCACACAAAAAGAAGATTTCCTTTATTTTATTTAATCAAAACCTAAAATAACAAAT